CAGGAAGCAAGATAGTTGGGGATATTGGAAAGAGATCAAGTAAAATCATAGACCAGAGCTGAAGCCCCACTTCTGGAACTGATCTAATTAGGACGGATCACAGATGACCGACGCCCAACCCACACTAAGCAAGAGAAGGGGGAGCCAAGGGCCCATGCAGCTGGAGAGGGCGCTGCAGGAGCCCATAGGTGAGGAGATGTACGACACAGGGTCCCCGTGGCCATGAATTGGCGATGGGGTGATGACGGTGGGACCCCGTGTGCCCCACAGATCTGAGACATAAAGGAACGCTTGGGTATGGGATGAAATGCAGAGGGGGGCACCCAATTGGGCAGATCCACCATTGTACTCAGGATCAAAGATGAGCTCCAATTCCCTGGGTTCACAAAAACAACCCTCAAAAACAGTTTAGGAGCCAGCGCGGGGCTGATGATTAAAACCCCAGCCTCCCACATCAAAGGACCTGAGTTCGAGCCCCAGCTCCAGCCCTGACTCCTACTTCTGCTGACGCTTAGGCAGCAGGCGCTGTCTCAAGTCACTGGGTCCCTGCCACCCACATGGGAGACCCAGACTGAGTTCCCGGCTCCTGGTTTCAGCCGGGCCCGCTGTTGTGGGCATTTGCAGAATGAACCAGTGGATGGGCGATCTCTTTCCCCTCTCTCTCAAGTAAATAAATACTTTTAATTAAAAAAAATTTCCCGAGTCTGCAAAAATAAAATAAGCCTGAACTTGGCCCTCCACGGGGGAGATCCAGGTCTGAACACACCTACAGAACTGGTGCCGAACAGCGCTTTCGTAGTCGGCTGTCTCCAGTGTGGCAGGGCGGTGCCCAACCCCTTCCCTCCTATGCTGAATACATAGGAGGTATGAGGTGAGATGCCCCGGTCACCACAGGAGGGCAGCGACTCCTCCCGCGTGTGGGTGGTTTGACTGCTGTACACAAATCAGGAGGCGGCTCAACTCACAGCCCAGCTGCTCATTAGGGGAAAACACAGGCCCTGAAACTCTACCATTAAGTCTGGGAGACCGTCAATTAGACAAGGATGGAGCAGCAGCCAGCCTCGCTCTGCACCCCGGGGCTGCCGGAGGAGCAGGGTGAGTCCAGCCACAGGAGCTTCCCTCCTACACTTGCTTGGGGGTGGAGCAGACACTGCAGGTGGCTCCCGTGGGCAGTAACACACTGCTCCTTTGTCCCACCGCACCCCAGGCCCTTGGAGGGAAGGCGGCTGAGGCCTCCATCAAATCACAGCTCAGCGCCTGACTGTGCCTGTAGCTCAAGACACCACCCGCCCGGATTCTACACAGAACCCCACGCAGGGGAGAACTTGCTGCGTGAACTCCAACCAGGCGGCAGCAGTGATAGAGCAACGTGGCCATGGGTGTTGGCCCAAGCTTCCCACATTTGCCACCCTGCAGAGCCCTGTGGAGTTCAGTCAACGCCAAGCCTACTTCGGAAACTTAGTCACGGCAGGGAACTCATCCTGTGTGCCCGGCACATCTTGTCTCGCCTCCCTTCTGAATAGTTCCTTGTTCATCTGCCTTGAATCTGTCTTTTGGCGCTGTCATTCCTAAGTGCTTGTGCCGTTATGCAATGGTGTGATGTAGAGAGAGCACACTGGGTGGGGGTGGGGGTTGGCTGCTTTGGCAGACCCCAGGGTCACCCCTCCTGCACCCGCCCCCAGCTGGGTATCCCCAGGGCCCCTGGCAGGTTCGCTCCCTACCGAGCTCACATCTGCACAGCTGCACACATTCTGGAAACCTCTACCTCCTCTGCTCCCAGCTCTCTCACGTGGCTCCAGGGGCAGAGAGTTACCCGGGGACACGGGCACTGGATCTGGTGAATGGTGACGCCCTCTAGGAACTCCAGGCCAGTCCTTACCCCGGGGCAGCCAGTGGGGCAGAGGCAGGTCCCTCCTCCCGTTAGCTGCTCTCAGGAGGCGAGGTCACAGCAGCCAGGGGGAATGAGCTGGGCCAGCACAGCTGTTTTCCGGGATGAGGGCTGGGGGCGGGGGCGGGGGCGGGGCGGCGTTTTTAGACTGCTTCAATTAAGTCGCACGCGCAGAAAGGTGCGTGAATCTGCAGCGTATACCTCAATGCATTTTTGCCAACGTATGAGGGGCCCATAAAAAAGCCCATGACGAAGTTCAGTTGAAAGACAATGTTCTTGGCCGGCCGTGGCTCACTAGGCTAATCTTCCACCTTGCGGCGCCAGCACACCGGGTTCTAGTCCCGGTCGGGGCGCCGGATTCTGTCCCAGTTGCCCCTCTTCCAGGCCAGCTCTCTGCTGTGGCCTGGGAGGGCAGTGGAGGATGGCCCAAGTGCTTGGGCCCTGCACCCATATGGGAAACCAGGAAAAGCACCTGGCTCCTGGCTTCGGATCAGCGCGGTGCACCAGCCGCAGCGCACCAGCTGCGGCAGCCATTGGAGGGTGAACCAACGGCAAAAGGAAGACCTTTCTCTCTGTCTCTCTCTCACTGTCCACTCTGCCTGTCAAAAAAAAAAAAAAAAGAAAGAAAAAAAAAGAAAGAAAGCAAGACAATGTTCTTGGGGCTTGGCAGCTGTGGCGTAGTAGGTAAAGCCGCCGCCTGCAGTGCTGGCATCCCATATGGGCGCCGGTTAGAGTCCCGGCTGCTCCACTTCTGATCCAGCTCTCAGCTATGGCTGGGAAAGCAGTAGGGGATGGCCCAAGTGCTTGGGCCCCTGAACCCGCATGGGAGACCTGGAAGAAGCTCCTGGCTCCTGGCTTCAGATGAACGCAGCTCTGGCTGTTGCAGCCAATTGGGGAGTGAACCAGCAGATAGAAGACCTCTCTCTCTCTCTCTCTCTCTCTCTCTCTCTCTCTCTGCCTCTCCTTCTCTCTCTGTGTAATTCTGATTTTCAAGTAAATAAATAAATCTTAAAAAAAAAGACAAGGTTCTTTTGATCAGCAAACCTTGAAATACACATTTTCCAGCAACTTTTTGAAGATCTCTCATATTTATGGATTTCCAAAAGCAAAAGGAAGGACCCAAATGAATTCTCTTAAAGATTCATTTACTTGAAAGAGTGACAGAGGGAGAGGAACACACACACACACACACACACATCTCCCATCCACTGCTTCCCTCCTCCCAGCGTCACCACAGCCAGGAGCCAGGAACTCTGTCCTGGTCTCCCACAGGGTGGCAGCGCCCCCGTTCTTGGCCTGCTTTCCATGGCCTTCCCAGGGGGGTGAATCAGAAGCAGGGCAGCTGGGACTCAAACTGGCACTCGGGTGTGAGACATCAGTGTCACAGACCATGGTGTAACCCGCTGTGCCACAACACTGGCCCCTAGTCTCTTTCAATTCCGTTTTCCAGTAACTTTTTGAAATCCTCTTGTACACATTCATGCAGCCACCACTCAGGTCAAGATAAGGAACAGAGGGCCGGCTCTGTGGTGTAGTGGGTAAAGCCACCGCCTGCAGTGTCAGCATCCCATACGGGCACCGGTTCGAGTCCTGCTGCTCCACTTCCAATCCAGCTCTGTGCTATAGCCTGGGAAAGCAGTAGAAGATGAACCAACTCCTTGAGCCCCTGCACCCACGTGGGAGACCCAGAAGAAGCTTCTGGCTCCTGGCTCCTGGTTTCGGATCAGTGCAGCTCCAGCAGTTGCAACCATCTGGGGAGTGAACCAGTGGATGGAAGACCTCTCTCTCTCTGTCTCTCTTTGCCTTTCAAATAAATAAATAAATCTTTAAAAATACATAAAATTTTTAAAAGACACAGAACATTCATGTAGCCCCAGAATGTCCCGCCACCCCCCTCCCTGCCAGTCCCCCAACTCCATTTCTAACTGCAGAGTTTGGTAAGAGTATTGAACTTCATGCAAAGCTAGCAACCATACATTCTATAGTCTTGTGTTTGGCTTCTCTCATTCAACATAGTGTTTTGAGATTAACCCACGTTATTAAAAATACATGTACATCTTACTCCATAGGTTGAGTATCCCTCGTCCAAATGCCCGGGAGGAGAAGTGTTTAGACTTCAGGCTCTTTGGGGGATTGGGAAGGGGACCCAAGCCTAAACACGAAATTCACTTATGCTTCATATACACCTTACAGACAGGGATAGCTGGACGATGACTTTATCCAGCATTTTAATCCTGTGCACGACAGTCTCTGGTGTGGAACCTTCCCCCGGTGGCCTCTGGCTGATGCCAGAAAGTTTCAGGTTTCGGAGCACTGCTGCTTTTGGATTCTCCACCCGGACCGCTCAGCCTGGACTGTCACACTGTGCTCTGTTGTGCCAGCGCCTACAATCTCCCCATCCACTCCGCAGCTGAAGGGCGTTCGTGCCTGGTGACATAGCTCACCGAAGCCAGGAGCCAGGAACTCCATCGGCTGGCAGGAGCCCAGACGCTGGGCCCACCTTCGGCTGCTTGCCCAGCCCATCAGCAGGGAGCTGGATCGGAAGCGGAGCAGCCGGGGACTCAGGATGCCCACGTCACATCCCCTTCCACTCAACAAAGCAGCAGCCTCTGCTCCCACACCCACTCCTGCAGCTGGTGTCAGGTCCTGGGAACACGGCAGGGGGCTACACTCAGGAGAGCCCCCTCCCCCGCACCCCTGCCTAAAAGATGGCCAAGCTACTTACCGTCTCAGAGGCTCAAAAGCAGCCCCGCCCAGGGCCAGCCTCCCCACCTGCGGCCAGGTGGCACCGCCCACTAATGAGTACCTCTGAGCTTGGAGTGCAGCCACAGCCCGGTCCTCCCTCCTCTGCAGAAGCTCCCCCACTCAGCGAGGCCAGTGGTACAGTCCAGCCAGGGGCCAGCAGGCAGGCCCAGGCCTTCTGGAAGGGGCAGGGCTGAGCAGGAGCAGCATGAAGGCGACAGCCAGAGACAGGTGGGGGTGAGGGGACACCCCTTCCCTGCCACACCCCCCACCACGCCCACTCCTATGGGTGTGATTTAAAGACACACACACACACACACACACATCTACACAGGCTGATGCAAACGGAAGAGAGAAGCTGAGGCGCACGGGAAGGGTCGCCTCGTTTATTATCCCAAAATTCAAAGTATTGAAGGCACTTGCAAGAACAAGAGGGCAGGGGTGGGAGGGGGGCAGTGGTCAAAGCACAGAGGGCGAGCCACAGGACACACCTGGTCACAGCCCGGCCTGGAGGGAGGGAAAGCTACAGGGCCAGGTCTGGAGCCGGTCAGGGTGTCGGAGTCTACAAGAGATAAAAATCCACTCTACAGAGGATGAGGGAGCCAGGAGCCCACGGCAGTCACGAGTCAGCCAGTGGCTGCTCAGGGGATGCTGCCCCGCGAGGCCAGCCCTCAGGGCCCCTGCTGGAAGAGGTCTCGGTACATCTCGATGAGGCGGGCGGCCTCGCGCTGGCCGGAGAGCAGAGCACCGTGGGTGGTGGAGTAGTACTTGCGGTGGGTGGCCTCCCCGGAGAACAGCACCTGCATGGGCTGGGCAGGGAGAAGCGGAGATGAGGGCAGGGCAGCAGCACCCCTGGCTGCCCCGGGAGCCCCCCACCCACATCTGAGGTGGGGTATCGCTGCTTCCGCAGGAGGAGGAGTTGCCTGTCCCATCGGCCACTTTCCCCTGCGTCTTCCCTGGTCACCCAGGCTTCTGTTTTTGCTGTCCTGGGGCTGTTAGAAGTCCTGGCTCTGCAGTCTCTAAGGATCCTTCAGCCTCTTAGCAGTGAACTAACTCAGGGCAAGTGGCTGAGCCTCCCTAAGCTTTGGTTTTCTCATCTGTCAAATGGGTATATCCCATCTACTTGAAGGAGGATGTGAAATCATGTATCTACAGCACTCAGCCTGGAAGCATGTAGGCACTCGATGAAGTCAGGTGGGGATTTAACAAACCTTTCTGCAGCCCCTATCAGGGTGCAGGGACTGTTCTGGGCCCTTGGAAGGTAAAAGGTGGCCAGGCTGCTGCTTTGTGGCGCTCCCCAGCTGGCGGGGAAACCAGACATGAAACCCACTCACTGAGCTGCATCGTGTGTGATGTGCTGGGTACTAGGGCGAGGCACCCCCAGCCTACTAAAGAGGCCCAGCATCAAGGAACCCCACAGAGCTCCCCAGAGGGCAGGGCCTTTGCAATGGCTCTCAGAAGACGCTGGTTAGCAGACGAGCAAGGACGTTTCAGACGGGGAGGCTGGGAGGGAGGCACCAAGGCTGGCCTCGTGGGGGCAGAGAGGACCTGGGCACGGCCGGGGCTCAGCCTCCAGGAAGCAGGAAGTCCTGCTGCAGGACCAGCTCCGGCATGTGGACTTGAGCCCGGAGCCTCGGCAGCTGCACGCGCCCAGGCAGCGGCTGTGGCCCCGACAGCATGCAGAGCTCCTGGCTCGGCCGTCCCAGGAGGCGGACAGTGTCCATCCCCGACAAGCCCCGGCCCACAGCCACCCCCTCCTAGGAGTGGGGCTCAGAGGTTGCTAGACTGGAAAGCAGCCTGTGTGGAAGCAGAGTACAAGCCGCCCACTGCCACAGCCGCCCACTCTCCTCTCTCCTCAGTCACAGAGCCCTCGTTCTTGATTGGGTCCTCTCCCATTCAAGCGAAAAATGACACAGCCCGGCCTCTCTAGGAGCGTCGGTGTGATCATGTGACTAAGTTCTGGCCAGCGGGCTTCAAGTACACTCTTGGATTGAGATATCCGATTCAGCTCCAAAGGGTGCCCTCTTTTGCCCATCAACCTGGCCCTTTCCCTTCCAGCATGAGAGGCAGCTGTGAGAGCTGGAGCATCTGCAGCTTTCTTGGACCACAAGGTGGCCTTGAGGATGGGAGCCAGCTGCTAGTGACACCTGCCTCCAGATTTTCTCTCATGTGGTAAAGGTAGAAGCAGAGCGCATCGAAGCCGCAGATCTGCAGGTGCCAAAGCTCAGGTGGGGAGGTGAGGGTGCGGCTCTGGACCTCGTCCTCCCACACGAATCGCTTGTTTAAGCCACAGTTGTTTTGTGTTTGTTTTGCCTTTTGTTACAAGTGTTCATCCTAACTGAGGCAGGTGACAAGAGGTGCGCCAGGAGGGTGACCATGGCAGCACTGAGGGCCTCTTCTGAGACCTCTTTGTCTCTCCCCCTCCACCCCCACCCCAGCACAGCCAGGCAGGCACAGGACACAGTGATGGACAGAAATCTCCACCAATGATGGGGCTCCTGGCTCCCGACCCAGCCCCAGCTGTTGGCAGGCATCTGGGGAGTGAACAGGCAGAGAGAAGCTCGATTTATTGGATGTACACATGAATGGGATCATTTGAAATCTATTTTATGGGGGTCAAAATATGTAGAATTCTTTCTTTCAGACTTCCTTTCTCTGAGCACATAATTGACATTACTTTAAGGAATGTCAATATTCTAAATTTCATTTTTAAAAAAATACTTCGGGGAAACTTATTTCCATTCAATCAGTGTTGTCTAATGGAACACTCTATGATGCCAAAAATGTTCTGTGGCTACACGGCCTAGTCTGGCAGCCATGAGCCACATGTGGCTGTGACATATGCAACCAGGGAACTAAACTTCAATTTATTCATCTAAATTTAATTTATTACATTATTGATCTACATTTAATTTATGACGTCATTATTAAGTTAAACGGCTATTACATAGCCTGGCCCAAAATACAAAGGCTCAATTTTCATAGTGTCAAGAGAGGATTTAAAGTTTCAATTTAGGAGCAGGTGTTTAGGGTGGCAACTGGGACACCTGCCTCCCGGATCAGCGTGAGTGGATTCCGTTCCCAGGTCAGAATCCTGACCCGGCTCCCGCTACTGCACACCCTGGCGGCAGACGGCGACGCACCAGGAGTTGGGTCCCTGCCGCCCATGTGGGAGACCAGGACTGTGCTCCCAACCCCTGGCTTCAGCCTGGCCCACCCCGGGTGTTCCGGGCACTCGTGAACTCAACCAGTGGACAGAGGCTCCCCTTCCCTCCTCCCCCACCGATCGCCGAACCTCTCAAATAAATGTAAAAAGCAGTTTATTTAAATGTTTCCATTTGATTCTGTTTCTTCTTCCCGTTGTGAAGTGAATGTTTTCTTCTCTTCTCTCTCATGATGGGGGCAACTCCATCCCTGCCCCACCCCAGCACCCCTGGGTGGACGTTCCAGGCTCCCCCCCTCGCCCGGGACCACACACACACACACATACACACACACCCCGAACAGCCCCCGGGGCCCCTGGGCTCCCTGCGCACCCACACTCACCGCTGACTTGGAGCTCTCTGTATAGGGCAGGGGCTTGGCCAGCTTCTCCACGTCTGCCCCGCTTGAGCCCACCTGCGTGTACGAATAGGAGCCGCGGAAATAGGGGTTGCTGCCCCAGGCCGAGCGCAGGATCCGCCGTGGCTTGGGAATGTTGGGGTTCCCTGTAGGGAGTCAGGAGAGAAAAGGGGAGGCAGGCTAAGAAATGGCTGTGCACACAAGACAGCCCTGAATGCACAACTCCCACCCCACCTCCAGGGCTCCCTGGAGACCAGGGCCAAAGGGAGAGGCCGAGGACAGAGAGGAGGGGATGGATGGGGCCTCCAGCTGTGCACCCAACACCGTGCAAGCCCAGCCGAGCCAAGCGCAGCTCCCCACCTCAGGGCCTCAATTTTCCTGTCTAAAGAGGCATTACAGACATGCACATTTCTCCTTGTCACCCCGAGGCTTCCTGGGAGGCCCTCCTGGAGGCGTGGGGGGCAGGAAATATCCAACTAGAAGAATCAGAAAGGAAGACACACGGCCAGCAGTAAGCCAGACTGCGTGGGCAGGAAGCCATCAGCCCTCAGAGAGATGAAGAGACGCAGCATGCTGTCTTTCCCAGAACTGGGAGGCGCCAGCCACTTGGGAGCCCGTGGTGGCAGCTGCCCGGGCAGGGGACAGTGGCGCGGGAGGCCACTGGGGCGGGGGCCGAGTGGGCCAGCTTGGAGGCCCCGGGCGCACCTGTAAACTGCCGCAGCATCTCCGTGCAGACCTCAGCCACCGCCTCGTCATCACACCTCTCCATGACGAGGGCCTCTTCGCCGCAGATCCAGCCGCTGAGCACGTGGCCGTAGCGCTCGGGCGGGTAGAGCACGTCGAAGCCGCAGATCTTGCGGTACCAGAGCTCGGGCGGGTAGGTGAGGGTGCAGCTCTCGGCCTCGTCCTCCCACACGAACTGCAGGCTGTTGCACTCGGCGCCCCAGAAGGGCTCCTCGAATTCCAGGAAGATCTTGTCGGTGGTGCCGATGCCCAGGCGGTGGATGGCGGCCACCTTCTCGGTGGGCAGGCCTGGCCGGAAGAAGCTGGGGTACTGTCTCTTGAGTACGCCCAGGGACACGGTCACGATCACGTGGTCGGCCGGGACCACCTCGCAGTCCTCGCACTCCACCATCACCGGCCAGCGCTCGTCCTCGTCCGGCCCGCTGCCCCGGGGCCCCTCCCCGGCCTGGCCGCCCTCCCCGCTGTCGTGGTTGTGGTCGCCCTCGGCCCGGGGCTCGATCTCAGGGCCCCGGGCGCGGGCCGAGGCCTGGTCCCAGTGAATGCATCGGACGGGCTTGCCCAGCTGGATGACGTGGGCCGGGATGCCCTTGGCCAGCAGCTCCACAACCCGCATGAAGCCCGAGGGGATGATGTGGTGGGCGCCGGGGATCTCGGTCCACTCCCCAAAGGCACTCAGGGACACCTCGTCCATGCTGTGCGAGCTACTCTCGCAGCTCTCCACCTGCGGGAGGACCCAGAGAGCCGGGTGACCCCAGGGCTGGGCAGGGGCAGGAGCAGGACCCCCAAAGCAGCTGTAGCCCTCCTGGGTCCCAGACTCCCCCAGAATCGGACGTCCTCACTCCGGCACCAGTATACTCGACAGCAAAGATACCTTCAGGTACTGCTGGATCATGGCGAGCTTCAGGCGCTTGGTGGCCTCGGGGTCGTCAGGGTCAGCCCTGATGCGGTTGCGCACCTCCTCCCGGGTGAACACCCCCACGCTGTTCTGACTCTCAGCGTTGACTGGTTTACCGTGCCGGAAGAACTCCTGGGTCATGTTATAGACCTGCCAGAGAGAGCCCGGGACGCTGAAAACACACGCCCTCCCCCCACCTCTGTCTCAGAGAGCGGGGCCCCAGCCCGAACGTGGTCGGCTCCCAGATGCCCCAAGCTGGGCTGACCTCTGCGCCCAGGCTGCACCCCCAGAAGCAAGGCAAAGGCAGGGCGAGCTGCCCTGGCTTGGAACCCAGTGACCCGCGTGGTGCCTGCACTGTCTGTGGGGGAAGACTGCCTCCCCTCCCCTCCCCTCCCCTCCCCGGCCCTGTGGGCTCTGCGGGAGTTCCACCTGCCAGTTTACAAGACCCAAGCACCCAGGCCAGCGCTGTGGCATAGCAGGTAAAGCTGCTGTCTGCAGCGCCAGCATCCCATATGGATGCCGGTTCGAGGCCGGCTCCACTTCTGATCCAGCTCTCTGCTGTGGCCTGGGAAAGCAGAAGAAGATGGCCCAAGTGCTTGGGCCCCTGCAACCATGTGGGAGACCTGGAAGAGGCTCCCAGCTCCTGGATTTGGATTGGCATAGCTCTAGCCACTGTGGCCATTTGGGGAGTGAACCAGCAGATGGAAGACCTCTCTCTCTCTCTCTCTCTGCCTCTGCCTCTCTGTAACTCTGCCTTTCAAATAAATAAATAAATCTTTCAAAAAGAAAAAAAAGACCCAAGCACTTGGGCCCTCCCCTGCCACCCGAGAGAGCAGCCTGGAGCTGGGCCCGACCAGTGCTGGGGGCACAGAGGGCAGAAGGCACGTGAAATGTGGTCCCTGGGAGATGCCTCCCTGGCCGTGCCCAGGGCCATGCAAAGCACCCCTTTACTCTGGACCTCTGAGGCATGAGAGGAAGAGGGGATGGAGGGGGGAGGGGCAACACAGAAGGGAGGATCTCCAGGAGCCAAGGGACAGAGACACAGCTCAGCAGGGGCTGCAAGCCAGGCTTAGTCAACAGCTGGTGACGATGCCCTGGGGAACAGGGTCCTTCTGCCTTCCCTCCAGCCTGCTTGATGACCTCCACCCCATGCTGGGCAGGCCTGGGGTCCCCAGAGAAAGTCTGAGCCCCAGCATTCACTGAACACACGCTGACTGGGCTCAGGGCTCTGCCCAGGCAGTTGTGGCGGGCATGACAGACACAGCCCCCTGCCTGGCCCCACCCAGGCTGGGCAGACATCCTAGAACCGTGCTGCTTCCAGGGGCTGTGCCGCCATGGGGAAGAGCCAGGCTGCTGAAATGCACCAAGGGGCCTGCAGAGCTGGGAGATGGCGTGGGCAGTGGGCGGGAGAGGAAGGCGTTTCAGGGGGGTGGGGGGCAGCCTTGCAGGCAAGGATGAGGGGCAGAAGGGAGAGAAGCTGCGGGCCCCCGCCCACTGCTGTCGCCAGGACCCTGGCACGGGTCGGCGCCTTGGGCCAGCAACTGTGGCTGAGCTGACGGAGGGTGCATTTCCCGTCCGGAATGAACTGAGTGTGGCTCTGGCCCGTACACGTGCAGGAGACCCTGGGCGGGCCTGGGGTCCCAGAATAGGAGGAAGATGGCAAAGCCACGCCCCTCCCCCCTCCTTCCTTCCACCCCAGGGAGAGACATTCCCATGAGTTACAAGCGTCTCTCAAGCATAAAGTAGGAGGAAGAAAATGAGTGAAGTTGCTCGTTCCCCGGCCTCCAGTCACGAGATGCCGGTGGTTGGCCTTAACTGGAGCCCTCAGCAAATTCCTCGCCCAGGCCCTCTGCCAAGCAGTCAGGCTCTCACCCCTGCCCAGCCCCCGGCTCTTCCCCTGGGTGGCAAGCGACACAGCAGCCAGTCCTTAGCCCACGTGCCTGTGTGAGTCCCGTGTGGCCCTCCAACTAGAACAGCCGTCACTGAACCTGAGTTTGTCACGTGGGTATGGTCTCCTCTCCAGCTTCCTGATGTGACTTCGGGAAAATGGGACAGGTCTGTGACAGCTCGTAATACCCCGGTTCTCATTAAGGGCTCTCCAGTGGGATTGCATTTAATCCTCCTCCTAGGAAGTAGGTACAGCCATACCCATTTCACAGATGAGGAAAAGGCAGGCCCAGGATGGCCCAATAACCTGCTCAGGATTACACAGCTCATAAACGGTCGGAATGGTGTTTGCATCAAGGTCATCTTACTCCAGAGACGAGGCTCTATGACGCCACCCTACAAACTCACTTGTCCATTTATAACTAGATCACATTTATAATAAGCACAATACATTCACAACTGATTGTGAGTCACCCTCAGGCAGGACATCGCTGGTGGAGTCCACGAGAGTGTCTAGACCGTAGGGTGCTGAGTCCTCCTTCTGACACCCCACCCCAGGGTGACGACTCACCTTATCCACTCCATCTCCGTCACTCGGACGCTGGTGGGGACAGACCCACTCCCAGGCCCTGACAGTCATTCTCTGGGAGCACCTGTGCTTGAAGCACTCCAAACAGACCCAGCTCACTGTCCTTTCCCATGCCCAAGAGAGCACAAAACACCCTTGGCGAAGACGTCAGGTGATGAAGGATAAGCTAGCAGAAGTCAGGGCCTATAGGCACCCTGCTTGTTCGAGGCATTGTGGGAAAAGACTAAAAACTAAGACACAAGACAAGGATGTGTGCTGTCGCCACTTCTACGTAACACTGAGTAGTTGGATACAAAGCAGCGCAATAAAACAAGAAAAATCAATCATCTAAAGCTGTGTTATCCAATTCAGTAGCCCCTGTAGCAACCCAATAACAAAACGAAACATTTAGTCCATCAGCTTCCTTAGATAGCTAAGGGCTCAAGAGAAAGGTGTGGTGCGTGGCCACCACGGCACACGGTGCAGGTCTTAGAACTCTCCGTCAGGACAGGTGTTCGACCTAGTGGTTAGGACACTCGTGCCGCACACCAGAGTACCTGGGTTTGAGTTCTGGCTCCAGCTCTCAATTCCCTGGGAGGCTGCAGGTGATGACCCAAGAAGTTGGGTCCCTGCCACCCACATGAGACACCTGGACCGAGTTTCCCAGGTCCCAGCCTCAGCCCAGCCCAGCCCCAGGCATTTAGGCGTCTGGAGAGTGAACCAGCAATATGGGAACTCTCTCTTTCTCCCCTTCTCCATCGCCTGTCTTTCCCTCTCTTGCTGTCTCCCTGCTTCTTAAATGATATATTTTTTTTAATTTGTAAAAATAAATCATTAAATAAATAAGTAATAAATAAAGCATCTTCAACATTGTGGAAAGTTTTATTGGGCAATGCTGGTCTAAGGATTAGGAAGGGAATGATTCTCACTTTTTGGTTTAGGGTTACATACAGAAAATTCCAAAATCTTCTCAGGCTATAATGAACACAACAGATACACTATTGGAATTAAAATGTTAATTCAGCAAAATCAATACATAAAAGCCAGTTATATTTCTATAAACCAGCAATAATTAGAAGATGAAGTTTTAAAAAATGACCTCTGATAAGAATATCCAAAACCAACAACAGCCACAACAACTACCACCCACGTGGCCAGTGACAAATGGAACAGAAGATGTTTAGGCCTTTTCTGGAGGAACCTTTAATCCTGTGAATCAGAGGACACCTGCCGGGAACCCCTCCCCAAACCCCTCCCCCGCATTTGACCTCACCTTGTGCTGTTGTTCCAAATGCAGGGCCCGGGGAGGGGAGCGTGCAAAGCCACCACTGGGACCACTCTGGCGCCCAGCAGGTCCCCGCCTCCCCCACGCCCCATGCCTCACCTCGTTGTATAAATCGCTGAATTCCTCAACCACGTCCTTGGGGACCCTCTGGCCGTGGTTGGTAAGGTAGCAGGCCACGCCATTCTTGGAGTAGAGGCTGATGCGGCCCACGCTGCGCTCCCCATCGGTCGTCTCTTCCAGGAGGCCGTTGGCTTCGGCTAGATGATAGACAGGGTTCCCGTGGGAGCCATGGATCCAGGTGGCTCCCAGCTCAAAGGTGGCGTGTCCTGACGGTGACAAGGACAGGCCCTCAGAGGGGCAGGGACTCTGCCTCCCTGCATCGTCCCTGGCAGGAAGGCAGGAAGGGGCCCAGGCTTCCGGGATGGGGTCGCACTGCCCTGGATGGTGCTGGGGTTTGCCCCAGAGCCGCCTCCCTTGCCCAGTGGCCAAGTCTCCGCCTCCAACCCCAGCTTCTTCTAAGACAACAGCAGCTCCCCCTTCCTCCCTGGTGCCTCCCCTCTTTGAGGACCCCATGGGCACCGGAGGGCACAGCAGTTCCAGTGGAAAACCAAGGTCCCCAGCTGGCTTCCCTCTAATCCCCCAGCTTCCCTGGTGTCCCCAGAGGCTTTTTTCGGGTCAGAAAATGGCCATTCCCAGCCCAGCCTGGGTAGGAGAGACAGGCAAAGCAGTCCCAGACCAGGGACAGTTCAGCTCTGAATCCTTTGGCACAGGGGCTCAAGCCCTGACAGTGACACTGGGGCGAGGGTCACTCCTGGGTCCCAGTTGGGACAGGCATGGGAACTGGTTCTACTACCCCAGCTCCAGCCACAGGTACCAGGTCTGGGAGCTCCCTCTGGGCATAGGCCTCAGTTTCCCCTTCCGCAGGAAGAGGACATCCAAAGATCACAGTAGGCACCGTTTCCAAGCTGACCCCACAGCACCCTGTGAGCCTCTGGTCCTGGCCCCCTGCTCTCGCCTGTGACACATTCAGCTCCTCCCAGGGAAGTTGCAACAAAGAAAGGAGGATAGATAGGAAGTTCCCTGGTGTTTTGTTTTGCTTTGTTTGCAGGCATGATAAGTGTGGCATTTTTTTCCCCCAAATGCTCAGGATAATTGCCCCCATCCTCGTGCACACACCCCTTGCAACGTGACTTTGCCAACATCTGCCCTTGAATTTGGGCTGCCCTTGTGACTTGCTGTGATTAACAGAATGTGCTGCTTGTGGCTTCACAGCTTCAGCCTCAGGGGCCTCATGGCTTCCACTGTCACCATCCTAGAAGTGACAACCATGGAAGGAAACCCAGCCAAACGCCTGTGCCCTCCTCCAGGGACATGGGAAAGGCCTTCTTGGACAGACCAGCCCCAGCCGAGCTGCCAGGTGGTCATGGCCAAGTGGAAGATCCAAGGCAAGGCCAACAGAAGAATCCCCTAGTTGAGTTCTCCCTAAATCGCTGACCTGCAGATGAGCAAATAAGAAGGCGTGGTTTTAAGCTGTTGCATCTTGGGGCAGCTTGTTAGGCGGCAGTAGCTCTCCATTACACTTGGGCAGTGCCAGCACCCCTCACCCAGGGGTCAGGTGGCCCTCTCTGTCCTGCCTCCGCTCTCCCTGGCTGCTTCTAATTAAACTGCTAGTCACTAAAAATAACCCCATCTGCATGTATGTGCCAAAAGCCAAAGAACATACAGTCAACCTTATGGCTCAGCCAGCAAGCCAGCATCTCCCGGGGTCTCTAGAGGGGAATGCACTGGCCCCTCCGTCCATCTAGGACAAGTGGGCAGCCCAGGCTGGAAGCCCAGCCCTCTGCTTCCTGGTGGGCAGTGAGGGCCTGCAAGTACCAAACCTCCTTCTCAGTCTCGGGAATGGGGCTCCCCAAAGCATCTGGCCTCGTCTGAGCTCCCAACAGTGGCGGGAAGGGGACAGGCACTCTGGGCTGTGGCTTGAACCCTTCCCGGGCCCAGCGGAAAGTTCCAAGTTACAGAGCCACTGGGCAGCCTGACATGGGGCATGTTTCTTGCCCCCCCGATACTCAGCAAAAGCAGGAAGAAGTGACCAGTTCAAGCCAAGGAGCAAGGCCAGCACCCACCTCCATCTCCAGGCTTGGCCAGGAAGCAGGAGGCCTAGAGCAGGCCCCATCTAAGGATGCCTTCTCCCACACGCCCCTCCATCTCTGCCAACCTTGCCACACCCCTGCATCCAAAGAGCACACCAGCCACCATTTCCATGCTGGCCCCATAGCACCGTCTGAGCCTCTGGCCCTCCACACCTGCTCTCACCACCACCAAGGTCATGGCCAGCTTTGCACACGGCAGGGCTTCCAGCCTGGGTTTCAGCCCCACGTCTGCGCATGTGACGCAGGCACACACACCATCCCCGCGTGGCAGGTGCTTCCATCTCCCTGACACTCAGCATTCTGTGCACTCTGCTCCCTCCTCCTCACCACTTACCCAACTCCCACCACCACCCAGGCCCACCCAATCCCCCTCCCGACCTGATTAATCGATCAGTGATGACCGATCAGTCATGTATCCTCAACCCCCCGCCTCCCCGCCGCTTCCCATCTCCTGCCTTCCCGTCAGACCCGAGGTCTCATCAAGACCAGAGTCGCCCCTTCTCTCAGAGCTTCCCCGGCTGTCCCCAGGTTGACGGGTGCGGGATGGCATGGCCACCCTCCTGCCAGCAGCCACTGCCGTGTGTGCTGGAGCAGCAGGCAGGTGAGCCCACGTCTGCCTTCCAGGCACGGCTCTAGGGAAGGCCCCCGTGTGACTGACATCACTGCGAGAAGAGAGCAGGTCCCTGTGTGTCCTCAGCCTGGCTGCTCGCTGCTCTGAGCGAGTGGGCACGGGGCTCTGCTTGGCCTGGCTGCCTGGTAGGGGAATGCAGGGAGACACAAAACCCACGGCAGGCTCAGCAAAACCACTCTTTCGAGCCACTACGCCCCGGTCCCTACCTGCTGCACCCCGCACTGCTCAGACCCTTTGCTGCCTGGGAGCCCCGACCTCCAGCTGCCTTCCAGGTCCACTCCCTAGGACTCCTGCCCAGCCCTGGGAGAGCCTCTGGGCCGGCTGCTTCCTCCTGGGGCCTCAGTATCTGCAACCTAGACAGACTCTCTTCCCAGATAATCCCAAGACCTGCACATCAGCCCCAGGGTCTCCAAAATCCCCTTTGCCAATGCTAACCTGAGCTCCCGGTGCTCTAAATCTAGCTCTCGGTGCTGATGCAGTAACTCGAGCTCAGGAGGCAGAGGTTAGTGGGGACTTGTAGAATTCCCCCTCCTGTGAGACTGAAATTGGCCCAGCAGTGCCAACGGGGCTCGGTTCTGGGTGCCGCCCTCCTCTTCAGGAGCACGAACCCCAGGTCACGCACCAGTAGAGGTCAAGGCCCCACTGTGCACACCATGGTGCAGAGAACTTTTGGAAAACGCAGACGGGATGCATGGTGCAATTTTGCAAGGAAGCGAAAATATGAGACCCCAGGCAGGGTCCGCAGGTTAGGGGCGGTGGGAGGTGGCTGGGCTGGGCTGGCTGGCACTCACCGAGGTTCACGCTCTGCACGCGGCCTCCGATGCGGCTAGAAGCCTCGAGCACAGTGACATCGGTGAAGCCGTGCTCCAGAAGCGCTTTGGCCGCAGCCAGGCCAGCCAAGCCGGCGCCGATCACCACCACACGAGGCTGTCCCCTTCTCCGCAGGCCACGACTGAGAGGGTCATCCGCACTGTCGCCACTGGATTCACAACTTTGCATACCGTCCGCACTCGCCTCCTAGGAACCTGCGGGCACAGGGGGTCACGGCTCAGCTGCCCAGAGGCCACTCCCGGGCACCCTGAGGAGCTGGGCGAGAGAATCCACCTCCAGAGCAGAAGAGACAAGGGAAGGTGGGAGACGGGTGGGGGGAGGCAGGAGGAAGGGAAGGCGGGACACGGGAAGGGCGTGATGCCTTGTGAGTCCCCACCGGTAGGCAGGAGCCCCAGAAGCCCACCCAAAGCCCCCAAAACCCAAATCTGCCACCTATATGTCCCCAAGTAGAGAAGAAATACCGAAGAGGTGACCAAGAAGGCCAAGGTCAGAAGAGAGTGACCATGGGGATGCTGAGGCAGGATCAGCTCACGCTGGGGTCCAGCTTGAGCTAACTTTAGGATGCTCACACAGACCCCCAGGACACTCACACCGACCCCAGGCCATCTGCACAGATCCCGAGATACTCACACGGACCCCAGAGTAGTCGCACTCGCCCCAGACACTGGCATGGACCCCAGGATGCCCACACAGCGTTGGACCCTCTGCTCCCCCTCCCTTGCCTAGCTCATTCTCTTTCTCTCTTGTTCACTCGAGCTTGCTCTCTCTCTCTCCCTCCCTCCCTCCCTCCCTCGCCCCTTCTCTTCTCTGGCTCTGTCTTTCACAGCCTCATCAGGGTGGCAATTTGGTGGGCAGGGCACAGTCCCGCCCTCCCCCCCGGGAAGTGCCACGAGGTCAGTGTCCAACAAGCCTCTGCTATTCCTGGTAGGCTGTTTCCCCCAGCCACCCAGCCCCTCCGCCACCGCAAAGCAGCACGGAGCCCAGGAAATGGTGCGCCGTGAGGAGCTGCGGCTCCAGAGGCCAGACATCAAATTGACAGTTACACTGAGCCAGCTCACTCAGCCGCCAGACTCCAGGAGCCCAGGGCTGGGCTGGGGGGGTGGGGGTGGGGGGGAGCCTGCTGCCCTTCCTTCCTAGAATGGCAGGAGAGTCTGGAGGTGCTGGGGGCCCACTCTTCTTTGACCCTGTCCCTGCTCCTTCCCTGACCCAAGCCACTTGGACTCCAGTTGCCACTGCTGAGGCTTCAGTGCCAGAAGTCACAGAATCTAACAGTGGACCACAGGCTGGCGGAGAGTGGCTGCAGGGCAGCAGATGGAGCACATATAAAAAACTGTGACCTAGGGGCAGGCACTTGGCACAGGAGATGCTCGCATCCCTTGTCAAGAGTACTTAGAGGGGGCCGGCGCTGTGGTGTGGTGGGTAAAGCCGCCACCTGCAGTGGCATATGGACACCGGTTCTAGTCCCAGCTGCTCCACTTTCAGTCCAGCTCTCTGCCATGGCCTGGGAAAGCAGTGGAAGATGGCCCAGGTCCTTGGGGCCCCTGCACCTGCTTGGGAGACAGGAAGAAGCTCCTGGCTCCTGGCTTCGGAATGGCGCAGCTCTGGCCATTGTGGCCATCTGGGGAGTGAACCAGTGGATGGAAAACTTCTCTCTCTGCCTTTGCCTCTGCCCCTCTGTAACTCTGCTTTTTGAATAAATAAATAAATCTTAAAAAAAAAAAAAAAAGAATACATAGGCTTGAGTCCCAGCTCTATGGCTGACTCCAGCATCCTGCTAACGCACACCTTGGGAGGCAGGAGGTCGATGGCTCAGGTACTCAGGTCCCTGTCACCCACGTGGGAGATGCAGATGCAATTCCCAGTTCCTGGCTTTGATCTGACCCAGTCCTGGCTTTTGTGGGAATTTAGGGAGTGAACCAGCAGATGGAAGATCTCTGTCTCTACCTTTCAAATTAAAATAATTTTTAAAATAAACATATAAATCACCATCACCCATACCTAAGAAAGCTGAGCATGACACAAAAACCCACTCCGAGGATCCACCCAAGAGAGACAGCCAACCTGCTAAACAGACCTGATTTTTTTTTTTGACAGGCAGAGTGGAGAGTGAGAGAGAGAGACAGAGAGAAAGGTCTTCCTTTTCTGTTGGTTCACCCCCCCAATGGCCGCTGCAGCCGACACGCTGCGGCGGGCGCACGGTGCTGATCCGAAGCCAGACGCCAGGTGCTTCTCCTGGTCTCCCATGCGGGTGCAGGGCTCAAGCACTTGGGCCATCCTCCACTGCCTTCCCGGGCCACAGCAGAGAGCTGGACTGGAAGAGGAGCAACCAGGACAGAATCCTGCGCCCCAACTGGGACTAGAACCTGGGGTGCTTGAGCCGCAGGCGGAGGATTAGCCTAGTGAGCCATGGCGCCGGCAAACAGACCTGACTTTAAAATTCACATCCAGGTTATCTACAGTTGCCAAAAGCCTGGAACAACCCAGGGGAGAACTGATAAAAACATGGCGCTGCAGGCAGCACATGCACACGACGGAATATTCTGCAGCAGCAAACGGAGCCCGGAGACAGCCGGGCAGCAGCGCACATGCACCTCAAGGCAGCCAGACTACAGGGCACGTCCCGGGCGACATCTGCACTGCGAGGACAGAGGGTGAGCAGGAGGGGCAATGGCCAGGAAGGGGACGTCCTGCGGCCCAAGGGGGCTGTGGCTCAGTCTGAGCAGTCACACGGCGGGAACACAGAGAATCGCTGAGTTGTACAGTTCAGCTCTGAGTGATCCGCTGCGAGTCTCCTGCGTTCCTGGCGTCCAGAGAGCCACAGGCCGGCGCGCTGACCTCCTCCAAGGTCTAACCACTGAGGGGCCTGCAAGCCTGCACGTGCACGCGTGCCCTACAGCTAATGTACTGTCAGTTTGTCAAAAGGATCTATTGGGGGAGGGGAGGCGAGGGGGGGAGGGGACACGTTCAGGCCGACATGCTGCTTCCCCGGTCACCAAGTCCGCCTGCCCGAGCAACTGCTGGACCTGGGTGGGCATGCACCCCCCACAGCCCCCTTGCAGACCCAGGTCCACCAGGCTCGGGGCAGGAGCAGTTCCTGAGACGGCCGGAAGGTGGCGCCCGAAGCCGCGCCCCCTCACTGGCAGCGTCCCGCCAAGCCTAGGCCAGGCTGTCCGCGCGGATACGGCCTCGCCGGGGGTCGCGTGGGCGGGGCCCCCGGCCCCTTCCCATCCCCGTGAGGCGCCAGGTCTTGCCTCCCCGCCATGCCCCCGGAGCACGGGGTCGGGGCTGGTGCGAGGGCCCCGCCTCCCTGCCCCTCGCCCTCTCCCCGCCCCCCCTCCCCAGGTTCTCCTTCCTGGCACTAAATTTAGAGGTGAGGATGTGGCTGCCCGCACTCGGCCGCCTGGCGGGGAGGAAGGGTCAGGAGCCTGCCGCCGGATGTCGGCCAGCCGAGCGAGCGAGCGAGCCGGAGGGCGAGCGGGGACGCGGCCGCGTCAGGTTTGTAAACACGCGGTGACGCCGCCGGCACCCCGCGACCGCCGACGTGGCGCCGCGCGCCCCTGCCCAGCCCCCAGCCCCCAGCCCCGCCTCCGATGCGGTGAAGGGCGGCGTGATTCTCAGATTTGCTCCTGGGGGGCTCAGGGGTGGCGGCGATGACCCCGCGGAAGGAAGGAACGCCGCGGCAGCGCCTGGCCGAGCCTGCACCGTCGTCACGGGCGAACGTGGCCCTTGTCGCCGTGGCCGGAGCTCGGCGGCCCCTGCACGTCCCTGGAGCAGGGCTCACCTGCAGTGGGCCGCGGGACATGGGGCAGCTCCTCCGCCTCTGGGACGGACAGGAGAAGACCCCGGCCTCCCGAGGTCAGGGCTCAGAGACTTGGAACTGAAGACAGACATCACCCCGCGGGGGCTGCCAGGTGGGAGCCGGGGACACGTGGATCCCCCGCACCCCAGAGCCTCACAGCTCATCCCGCAGCCCTGTCAGCCCTCTGAAGACCCGCGTGCCCCCCGGGAAGCCAGAGCCCCCCCCACACACACACACACATACACGCACGCGCACATACACCACACAGGGCAGAGGTGTTCCCCGCTCTCGCCCAGGGGGCCCTCGCACTTCGGGGTCCCCTGTCAGAGCAGCCGAGGTGTGCTCCGAGTGCCTCCCCAGGCCTCTGGCGTCCCCCTCCCCCCGGGGGCTGTGTGTGGCGGGAGCAGACGCTTTGCACCATCTTCTGTCCCTAGTGGGTCTACTTTTCCATACAGCTTTGGGAGCAGGCTCTGACAGGGCGCTCTCCAGTGGTCCTGCAGCTGCCCGGCTCTCTCTGCCTGCCTTCGGGAAAGAGAGAAATAAATAACATCCGCTCCTTGATCTGTATGCACAGGAGAAACAGAACACCCTGTACTTTTTGAGCAGATAAAGGAGAGAAGAAAAAAGTGCTGGCTCAGCCAGGCAGGGAGGAGGAGGAGGGGGAGGGGGAGGGGGAGGAGCAAGGAGGTGCCAGCAACTTGTTCTGGCTACCATGGCAAAAGGGGGGTGGGGGCCTGGGGCCTCCTGCCCAGCTCCTGTGCCAGGGCCCACGGGGCTGTGCTGCCATGTCCCCAAGGAGGCCAGCAGGGTGTGCGAGTGTCTGCCCCCTCTGTTCAGGATGCCCCACTGCCACCCCCCAACCCCTAGCACACTGCTTGTCTGGCTCCCCCTCCCCACCCAGCGCCCACACCACCCTGACTGCCCCTGGGAGGAGGAAGGCAGCAGGGAGTGGAGACAGGGACTGAGTCCCAAACTCCGGCCCCCAGGCAGGGAGAAGGGATAAAGACCAGGAGGCTGGAGACCAGGGTGGGCACAGGCTTCTCTGATGCCTACCCTCCCGCCGTCCAGGTTCCGAGGCCTGATCCAGTCCTGTTGCCAACTTCGGGCCCTGCCCAGCCCCTCCCGAGATGCCCTGCACTGGCCCGGGAGCAGTGAGCACTTCTCTGTCCGCCCCCGCACCGCAGGTGAGACCATGGAGTGCAGAGAGGTCCCAAGGTTCACAGCCGGAGGCATCCTGAGTGGACGGCCTCCCGTTACTCATCGGGTCAGCCTCACAGCCCCCATCACTGTCCCCTCCACCCCAGCCATGTACTCGGGAGCCCTGCGGCCTCTCTCTGTGCCCCCCCCCGCCCCGGCCCAGTCTCGCTCCCACGGCCCCACACTGTCAGAGCTTGT